TTTTACTATTCCAGGAATGACAAATTCAACAGCAATGGTGTTACAGTCATTGTCAAAAAGATCCATCTTGAAGAACAACACCGTCTGTAACAGGATAATTTCCAAACCTCTACAAGGAAGACCAGTCAGTACCAGTACTATTCAGATTTACGCACCAATAACTAAAGCCAGTGGTAAGGAAGTTGAAGAATTCTACCAACTTATTCAGTCTGAAATTGATCAAACAGTAATCACGATGCACTGATAATTACTGGTGATTGGAATGTGAAAGTTAGAAACAAAGGAGGAGGATCGGTAGTTGGAAAATATGGTCTTTTTGACAGAAATGATACTGGAGATGTCATGAAAGAATTCTGCAAGATCAACAACGTACTCATCGCAAATATCTTCTTTAAAAGATGACTGTACACATGGACCTCACCACATGGCATACACAGGAATTGCACTGACTACATCTGTGGGAAGAGATAGTGAAAAAGCTCCTTATATGCAGCCAAAACAACGGTGTATAAGGGACCAAGTGTGGAATATACCATCAATTGCTCATATCCAAATTCTGGGTGAAACTGAAGAAAATTAAAACAAGTCCATGAGAGCTAAAACATAAACTTGAATATATTCTACCTGAACTTAGAGACTATTTCAATAACAGATTTGATGTATCACAGTACTGACTGAAGACCAGTAGAGTTATGGGATGATGTCAAGAATATCATACAGGAAGAAAGCAAAAGGTCATGAAAAACACAGGAAAGAAAGAAAAGACTAAGATGAATGTTAGGAGAGACTCTGAAACTTGCTCTTGAGCACAGAGAAGCTAGAGCAATTGGAAGGGGAAGAAAAAGAACTGAACAGAAAATTTCAAAGTGCAGCTTAAGAAGACAAAGTCAAGTATTATAAGGAAATGTGCAAAGACCTAGAGTTAGAAAACCCAAAGGGAAGGACATGCTCAGATTTCTCAAGCTGAAAGAACTGAAGAAAAAAATTCAAGCCATGATTTGAAATACTGAAGTATTCTATGGGCAAAACATTGAATGTTGCAGAAACATCAAAAGAAGAAAGAAGGAATACATGTCACTATACCAAAAAGAATTGGTTGATGTTCAACCATTTCAAGAGGTAGCATATGATCAAGAACTGATTATACTGAAAGAAGTAGTCCAAGATACACTGAAGATACTGGTGAAAAACAAGGTTCCAGGAATTGATGGAATACAGATGAAAATCCTTCAACAATCTAATGCAACATTGAAGGCGGTCACTCATATGTGCCCAGAAATCTGGAAGATGGCTACCTGGCCAACTGATTGGAAGAGATCTGAATTTGTGTCTATTTCAAAGAGAAGTGACACAACAGAATGCAGAAATCATCAAACAGTATCATCAATATCACATGTAAGTAAAATTTTGCTGATGATAATTAAAAAATCACCAGGAAACTGCCAGAAATCCAAGCTGGATTCAAAAGAGGACATGGAATGAGGAATATCATTATTGACATCAGATGGATCTTGGCTGAAAGCAGAGAATACCAGAACTATGTTTACTTGTACTTTATTGGCTTTCAACTGTGTGGATCATTACAAATTATGGATAACATTGTGAAGAATGGGTATTCCAGAACACTTAATTGTGTTCATGGGGAACTGTACATAGACCAAGAGGCAGTTGTTAGATAGTTCAAAGGGAGACTGAATGGTTAAGATCAGAGAAGGTATGGCTCTAAGGTTGTATCCTCTCATCATACCTATTCAATCTGTATGTTGAGCAAATAATCCGAGAAGTTGGATTATATGTAGAAGAACGTGGCACCAGGATTAGAGGAAGACTCATTAACAACTTGTGACATGCAGATGACAAACCTTGCTTGATGGAAGTGAAGAGGACTTAAAATACTAACTATGAAGGTAAAAGATTAGTGTCTTCAGTATAGATTTCACCTCAATGCTAAAAAAATAAAAATCCTCACAACTGGACCAATAAATATTTGATGAAAAATGAAGAAAAGATTAAAATTGTCAAAGCCTTCATTTTGCTTGGATCTACAGTCAAAAAGATTGATGTTGTCAAGGACTTCGTTGTTCTTGGATCAACTATCAGCACTCATGGAAGCAGCAGTCAAGAAATCAAATGATGTATTACATAAGGCAAATCTGCTGCACAAGGCCTTTTTAAAGTGTTGAAGAGCAAAGATGTCAGCTTGAAGACTAAGGTGCACCCTGACCCAAGCCATGGTATTTTCAATAACCTCATATGCATGCGAAAGTTGGACCGTGAATAAGGTAGACTATAGAATTGATGCTTTTGAGTTATGGTGTTGGAGGAGAATATTGAAAGTGCCATGGGCTGCCAAATGAACGAATAGATCCGTTTTGGACGAAGTGCAGCCAGAGTGCTCCTTGGAGGCCAAGATGGCCAAACTTTGTCTCTCATACTTTGGACACATTGTCAGGAGGGACCAGTCTCTGGAGAAGGATGTCATGTTTGGTAAAGTACAGAGTCAGAGAAAAAGAGGAAGACCCCCAACGAGATGGACTGGCCAAGTGGCAGCATCGGTGGATGCTGGCAACAGTAGTGATGTTGGCCCAGGATCAGGGAGTGTTTCATTCTGCTGTGCATAAGGTCGCTATGGGTCGGTATTGACTCGATGGCACTTAACAACAACAACAACAATCAACACTCATGGAAGGAGTCAAGAAATCATATGAGACATTACATTAGGCAAATAAGCAGAAGACCACTTTCAAGTATTAAAGAGCAAAGATATCAGTTTGAGGACTAAGGTCCACCTGAGCCAAGTCATGTTCAATCACCTCATATGCATGTGAAAGCTGGACAATGAATAAAGAAGACGATCGAAAAATTGATGCATCTGCATTATGGTGTTGGTGAAGAATACTGAAACTACTATGGACCAACAGAAGACCAAACTTGTGTTGGGAGAAGTACAGTACAAATGCTTATCACATGGGAGGATGGTGAGACTCTGTCTCTTGTTCTTTGGACATGTTGTCATGAGGGATCATTCCCTGCAGAAGGACATCATGCTGTTCAGATATTTACCTTCTCTGTATGTCCTTTCAGTTTTGAGATGTTCTCCAGGCTTTGTTGTTGTTAAGTGCTGTTGAGTCAGTTCTGAAGCATAGTGACCCTGTATAGGGTTTCCAAGGAGTGGCTGGTGAGCTTGAACCGCTGACCTTGCGGTTCAAAACAACTTTGCAGTCCAGCATTATTAACTCACAGCGCCACACCAGGGCTTTAATGCCATGCACAATGTTGGGCTCTGTGCTTCGTTTCTCTGGATACTGTTCAGATACATACCTTCCCTGTATGACCTTTAAGGTTTGAGATGTTCTCTAGGCTTGTGGTATTATAAACATGAATCACATTTCCACTGACTGCAGCAAACAGGTGTCCTCCATTGCTAAAACAACACTGCAGGAAAATAAAGCAGGAGAGCAAGAATGAAAGAATGAATAAGCCAATGGAATTTACAGTCAAGAGCTACTTTTCCCAAAGAGTTCAGGTTGAAACTGTGTGTGTGCTTAGGAGTGGGGGAACAGTGCAAACAGTACTAAAAGAGTTGGTGACATTTTCAGTTTCACTATTTCTTTAGCTCATGCTGGCCAAGATGCGGACACTGCCATGTGCTCTGGTCATTACACTGCTTAGAGCACTATTGGGTAGAATATTTACTTTTGTATGTAAAAGCACTGTTTCTGAGTGGGAAATGATTCCCCAAATCCATTTTGTTTCTGTAAGTCATCTCAGGGTGGACTGCTAATTGGCCTTCACTGTTGATGCTGATTTTATCTGACTTTTCCCACTATCCACCCTTGATTTCCCAGCTGAGACTCTTCTTCAATACTTTTCTTTCTTTAATACCCCACAGTTACAAAGAGAACTTATCGAAGGTGGCTCTCCAAAGGTTTGGGATTCAATGAGACATTTTTGGTGGGCATAAGAAAAGATGGAGTTATAATATACTCAATGAATTTGGTGGGAGAACTGGATTTCTTTTTTTTAGGTACTAAAGTTACATATGGAGTCCTAGTGTGGTGCTGTGGGTTAATGTGCTGGACTGCAAAGTTGGTTTGAATTGCAGGGTCAGTGGTTCAAGCTCACTAGTCACTCCTCAGAAACCCCATACAGGGTCGCTCTGCATCGGAACTGACTTGATGGCATTTAACAACAACAACAAAGTTACATATAACGTACTCAGCTGCTAATTGAAAGGTTAAAGGTTGGAGTCCATCCAGTGGTGCCAAGAAACAAAGGCTTGGCGATCCACTTCTGAAACATTAGTCTCTGAAAAAACCCTATAGAGAGCATGCATTCTACCCTGACACATATAGGGTCACCATGGGTTAGAATCAACCCAACAGCAACCAGTTAGAGTTCTGAAAGGTAGACTTTGGTCCCACTTCACAGAGTTTGTTTATTCTTGATACTTCTTTAATCCTGGATTTCCAAGGATTTAAATTTATCCTCAGCAACTTTTACCTCTCTGCATCCTCTGACAGAGTATTCTTTGAAAGAACGTATATCATCAATGAGTAGATTCATAATGCGTAGTTTGTCAGCAAACCCTACTACAATGAAGTGTCCAGATGGGTGAAGACTGACTGTATATGCCTCTTCTTGGTACTCCTTATACAGTTCCAGAGTGCTGTGAAAAAGATCAGTTAGTGAATTAGAAGTCTAGCCCACTAAATCCCTCAAGTCTTCCATTGCATCGCTTCCAAGTTTTTATTGTAGATTTGAGGGCCTTACTGCTTGTAATTACTGATTTACCAATTCTCCTTCCTAGATTTTGGTTATTTGAAGATCATGCCTAGCAATAATAGGGGGAATGACTGGTCAAGGGATTATCTAGTGATGTTGAAAACTCAGGTCTGTTAAGATTTTTTAAAAATCAGAAGAATTGCAAACTTTCTTCTAGCGCAGGCCTTAGGAGCTATATACAAGAGTAGAGAAAACTGTGTGCTTTTGTCGGGGTGGGGTGTGGAAGGCACAATCTTGGGTTGGAAATTCTCAAGGAGGCTGTGCAGGAGGATAAAACCACTAGGGAGTTGAAGTTGGTAGGAAGCAGATTATGATGAAAAATGAAAGGAATGACGGTCTGCAAAGCTCTGTGAAGCAAAAAGTACATCTAGTGAGAATGAGGGACTTGGAGAGCTGGAAGGATATAGGGAATTATGTAAGAAATTGAGAGACTGTCCCGAGTGTCTAGCCTAGTGTCTGGCATATAGTACATTAACATTTAATAAACCTCAAAGTAATTTTGTAGGCCATGCAAGAAAGAAACAGGTTGACTGACTTGATTAGAAGAATAAACAAAACACTTTTCCAAATGAAAGCTTCTAAGTAATTAGAAGTTTTGATTTTAATTAAAATAATCACAATTTTAATTAAAATAATTCACAGTAATGATATTTAACAACTGAATTCCTGTATAATACAGTACCAAAGCCTTTCATTCCTTACTTTGTTTCATAATTCCAGATGCGAACAGATCGATCCAGAGAACAGGTGGCAATGAGAGGTTTGCGGATGCAAGTAGCTAGACCAGTGATGGATGCAGAGTGTAATGGGTACATCAGATACTCAAAGTGAGCAGGCTCCCCCTGGAGAAATACAGAATGAGATCTGGCAAAGTATGCAAAAAGTTGGCTATGCACTTCAGTTCTAATTAGTGCTCAGGAGCATTAATTAATCTGATGTACAGAAATCTGCCTGTTGACAGTGTTTTAATATTATGCATATTTTTGATGCTATTATTATTTGAAAACATTATTTTAATGGCAATACAATGTTTTATTTCTACATTTATCCTGTTATTTAATTCAGCCATTTCTCTACTATTGAAACATTTAAGTGGTATCCAACTGGATATTTAGGACTCATGTTGGACTGAAGACCCTCACATACAAATCTTTGAGTACCTCTTTCATTATTTCCTTGAGGCATTTCTAGAAGTAGAACACTGGATAAAATGGTTCAAATGATCTTAAGGATCTTGATGTTGTTGTTAAGTGCTATCGAGTTGGTTCTGACCCATAGTGACCTTGAACAGGGTTTCTGTGGCTGTAAATCTTTACAGGAGCAGAAAGCCTCATCTTTCTCCAGCAGAACAGCTGGTAGTTTCGAACTGCTGACCTTGAGGTTCGCAGCCCGATTCGTAACCACTACGCTACCAGAGGATCTTGATAAATACTGCCAAATTTCCCTCCAGAGAAATTGTACTAATTAACTGCCAGTAACAAAGAGAGCGCGGAGACCTGGTGTGGCGCTGTGGGTTAATGCGCCAGAATGCAAAACCATTTGATCCGTAAGGTTGGTGGTTCAAGATCACCAACTGCTCCTCAGAAACCCTATACAGGGTCACTATGGGTTGGAATCAACTCGACGGCACTTAACAACAACAAAGAGAGCTGGATGAGTGATTTTTAAGTTGAGATACATCTTATTGTACTGGGCATGTAGGTTCCAGATATCTGCTGTCATCAGAGCCCCCATGCACAGGACACCTGAATGAAGAGTGATCATTCAGTGATCATTCCCAGTGGAAAATTCAGTGAGGTATATTCTATTTTAGATTTGTTTCCAGCCCAGAGAAAGGCTAAGAGGGGAATTCCTCAAATCTGGGCCTCCCCCCATCCCGCATAAACATCTTCTCATATCTCAGCAGTAAAGGTGTTCCTTGCTGTGCTGGGGTGGAAGGCAGACACATAATATTCCGATACTTCTCCATCACTTACCCCTTCTTCCTTCAACATCTCCACCCTCTCTTTCTACTAGCAAATTTTATTAGCTTTTAAAAACACAATTTCTTTTACCTTAAAAAACCCCAAAAATATCTCTGTCAATCTTGTCTTTGTACTTCTACTTTATTGTTGTTGTTGAGTGTCATTGAGTCGGTTCTGACTCACAATGACCCTGTATAGGGTTTCCAAGGAGCAGCTGGTAGTTTGACTCACCACCCTTGCCTTTACTTGTTGTTGTGAAGTGCCATCGAGTC